TCTTCAGATACATTTATTGTACTTTCAAATTCTTTGGATACTAATTGAGCTAGCAAACAATATCCCAGTTGAATGTCTCAGCTCCTTCCCTATTTAACATGCTTTTAATATAGAATTATATTGTAGCTATCCTTCTACTAAACAATATAGCTGACGAGTCAGGAAAAAAAAAAGTTAAAACTAAATTATAATTGCTGCCTTATATCTGACTCTTCTTCCTTTCTGCAGTCCTAATGAACTCTTTAAAGTTTTTTTTTTTTTTCTTCTGAGTGACAGATCAAAAATAATTAGCAGAATCAGAAGCAGTCAGAAAGCTTGAAATAATGTATCTAAATATTTCATATTGCTACTTATAATACTAGCCCATCAGTTGTAAAAAGAAACCATTCCCTAGTTATTTTGTGGTAGTTTATAAATATAGAAAGATAGATTCTTTTTTTCCAGGGCCTGCCTCAGAGATGACATAAATAGAGGTTGAACTATGAGGAAAAAAATATTGAAAAAATAAAATAAAAATAAACCACTGGACAGGAATAGAGACAGATACATACATACATAACTGCATCTGAACAACGTTACGTACCACATTAGGGGATGGTAAAAAACCCCTAACAGATCGCATATTTATAACCTCATAATTAAAATACATTCTTATCTCTCTCTTCTGAAAGGTTGCAGCTTTCTTGGAAATATTTTGAGTGCATATTTTAAACTCCATGTCCCAAACTGAATTAAGATGAGCTGTTTTATCCAAGAGTTAAACTCTTATTTACAATTTAATGTTTAAGTTTCAACTGTCTATCAATCGCCGTATCATTTTCTTTATATTTTACCCTCTTACGTTTGGAGACTTTATTTAAAATGTTGCTAGTTTATATCAAATTCTAATTTCTGTTTGTAAGAAATTAGTTAATATTATCCAGAATAATTCCCTGTGTTTGACTGAAGTAGATTGGGGGAGATTTTTTCACATTCAAAGGGTTAAAGCTAAACTGAAAACTTTAAAGCAAAGGGATACCAGCAAACAGTGAAAAATGGCATGTCTGTTCTCTCTTGACAAGCTTGCATTATATCACATGTAAGGAAGCACAAACTTTTGAATCTAAGACCAGTTTTAGTTTTTAATAGGAAATAATTACATGCAACTTTATTTCCAGAGAGAATGTCCCTTCCAGCTACAGTGTTTTGCTTTGATCTAAGTATTAACTGGTAATAAAATAACCATATTTTGGATCCTAAGCATATTGATGCTTAAAGGAATGTTATGCTTTCAATCAAATTCTAACTGTAGATTATCCAAAGGTATTCATCCTTCTTTTGTCAGAAACCAATTTGCTCTTTTAGTCCTGCAGCTACTCACATGTGTTTTAGTATACTTTGTTATTTTATATTAGAATTTGCACTATTGAGGTGGAAAACTTTTAGATGGAGTGAGATCATGTCCCAGCCTGGCAATTTGGGCTGTTTCTCACACAGGTCCCCCGTCCAGCCCTTCTTTACACTTGTTGTACACCACCACCATCGCTCATCTCGGAGGGCGACTACCGTGAACGTCTTTACAGCAGAATTTTGTTTTAAATCTTCAGATTTTTTTTTTTTTTTTTTTTTTTTTTTTTTTTTTTTTTTTTTTTTTACCTGGAGAATCAATCATTTGGACCCATCCTGAACAATTAACCTCCCCTTTATATTACAGCCCCAAGTGCAGTACTTCATAAAGACATGAAAAGGACATCCCAGACAGCAGGACCTGAGCCTGGGCTTGTCACAGAATATAAAGGGAGAGAGAAGGGGAGTTTTTATCTCATTGCACCACCAATTCTTAATAGTTCTAAGTTTCAGTGTGACAATAAAACAGTTTTGATAACATAGCTCATGGGTTTCTCTGCCACATAAAGTTTTCTTAATAATAAAAAAGAAGAAACTTTATCCCTGCTAAATTAAAATAGGGCAGATGTTGGATATGGTTCGTATTAGCCAGCCTTTCACCCCTTTGCCCCTGGCACTAAAGTTCTGACTTTTTCTTTCTACTATGTCTGTTTCTAACTGAAAGGTATTATTCCTGCCCCAGCTCTCTTCTTCTATTTATTTTTTCAGCGTCTAAAATTAAACCTATTCATTTAGTAATATACATTCTATTTCAGACTGTTAAACCTGGCCAGAGAGGGGAAACGTTTTCCAAAAAGTGATGCACCACTGACCTTAAAAGAAAACATGAGGCAGGGAAAGCTGTTCTTAAAAGGTTTATTTCTAGAGAATTTTGTAGCTCTGTTGACATTATAGGGATAATGGCTGTATTGCAATGGGCTTTCAAGGCCCAAGAGGTTTATGTTTTCTTCTGACCATAAGTATAATAAAATTTTAAAGGTGCACAAAGTCTCAACACTTTAGATATTTAAAACTAGATTGAAAAAACCCTTGGGAAACATATATTATCGTGGACAGCCTTGTTGAGAGAGCAGGGGATAGACAAAAAAAATACCCCAAACCCAAATAAAACCCCCCAGCTTTTTCACGCTAGCTCTATGAAAATCCTGGCGATTAAACTCCCAAGGATAGCACAGCTCTTTTCTTCAGGGCTGTGAAGATAGAATTTATTGTCCATTTGGAACGATCAAGTTTAGGCTAATAAAAGGCCCTCTGTAAGCAGAAATGCCCAAGTTGATGTTTGGCAGAGTTTTCAGTGGTTGAGTTTATATAGGATGGGGGCTCTGCCCTATTTGAAATTACTCATATCTCAGCAGCCGAAGATGATTTGACATACAGAAGTAAACGTTAGTAGGCAATGACTGAAGGTTAATCAGTATTGCTTTCTGAACTGGACGGTTGAAAGCAAGAAAAAGTGAAAGCTGCTCTCTCTAGCCCTTCCCTTTGCTAAGGTGCTGCTAACTTCTATGATTTTTTTTTCCTCTCTTCCTCTTTTACTATCTGTCTTTGTGCCTGAGGGCCAGTGAAAGAACACTGCAGATTCTAGATTGCTTTCAGAGTTTCCCTTTGCTGATGATGGATTACCATGTCAATTTAAACGACATAGGATTAATTTGTTTCAATGATTTCTCTTTAGGCTGAATGCCAATCTTTTTTTCTCTCTCTCTCAATAATAATAATAATAATAATAATAATAATAATAATAATAATAATAATATAATATGATAATAATAATAATAATATAAAAAAATTATTATTTAAAAACCCCAAACACTTTTGAGATCCCACATTAAAAAGACAATAATAGAAATAGACAAGTTAGGTGTAATGTTGCAACACAGTTATAGGTTTGAGTGTTTTTATCTCATTCTAAGGGGCTGAAGCATACAGTCAGTCACATTAAAATGAAATTGGATCCAACGTTTATTCAATAAATACTTGTCTTGTAGGTAATCCAGAGCAGAGTGCTTTTGACACATAAGGACTTAATTTGTCTTGGATAACAAGTTATTAATATGGCACATTTAAACTTGCCACCTACAATAAGGTCATTTAGATCTATAATACGACTCGCAAGAGAACTTCATAAAGCCAGAAACAAAGTTTGAAACTGCCTCTGAGTTGTGGAGCAGACGCACGGCTCATGGTTTGCTCTTTTCAGAAGGAAGTTCAGAGCAAGTAGGAGCCACCCAAACCCAAATGGTGTGCATCTGCTCCTCTTTGAAAGGCAAACGTAAATGGAGTAAGGAGGAAAAAAAGAACCCAAACACACATTTTTGAATGAGTAAGCTTTAAAGCTGTGCTGCGTCTGCTAGCAAACTCATCGCAGCTTTGAAAGTGAAAAAACAACATTTGGTTCCGAGTGGAAATTCGCCCGCATTTGCACCCTACCTCTTCCATGTGCTTTGCAATTTACTTGCTTTTAATAATAAGTGAGGAAGTTGGAACATAATCCACCCATAAATGTTATTGCTGTAATTTGACTGTGCTGTGTTTGTTCATGCATTAGCCGTATATGTAAAGTGAAGTGGGGATGTATGGTAGTGATCCCCGTACAGCCTGAACAAACAGAGATGTTTTGGTACATACTGGATTTCAGTCCCCAAATACTCTGCAACTGTTTTAAAATTTGGGAAGCCAGAGGTTAGGTGTTCAGTTTCAGACCTGTCCTAAGTGAACAATGCCTGCAAGAGGTGCATCAGGAGGCGAATATTACGTGCGTGCAACACAGGACGGGTTTTCTGGCTGGCGATTTGGTCTCCACACTGTATGCGTGAGCTTTATTATCCTGCTTTTATGTATTAAGCTCTTGGTTGCTCTTGCCCTGGCAGATTCTGTCTCTTTAAGTAACTAAATCACATTTTTAAGCTCTTCCTGGGAAAAGGATGTTACACATGAGTAGAAAAATGCAGGCAAGAAAGGCTAATTGAATGAAAAGAGAGAATTAGGTTAAAAATAGAGTACAATCTAGTATCACATTTTCACTAGTGTAACCTGAAATGAAGGTGTCTCCAAGTCCCTAGTGATGCCAGAGTGTTTAGATGTTGGGCACAGATGGAGACACCTATTGAAATGTGTCTGAAGAAGATTAATAGGACTTGTCAGTGTTGGGAAAGCACTGCTTTGCTGTAAATTTCTACTAGCACAAGATGAATTACCGATGAATGCTCAGTTATCAACCCCATCACTATCATTGGACACTAAATCAAATTGAGCAGTTATCTACAATCAGAAAATTTCTTTTAAAAATAGGCATACACCTTTAGGCTTAAACCCTTTAATAAGACAATATCCTCTATGGTATGTGTGTGTTCACGAAGGGATATGATTTAAAGTTTCTATACAAAAATCTTCTATTCGGAAATGAACTCCAAGTTTAGTGTGAAATCAGTGTTGTCAAATAGAAGATATTCAGAAAATATTGGTTATACAATATAATATTCTGCTGGGGGCCTGATCCAAAATGGATTTTCCTGCATGTCTTTAGGTTTCAAATCCATCCCTATTTGTGAGAGGTTTTTTTCATCACTCCACTCCCCTTATTTTTGGTGATGATAAAAAAAAAACCCAACCACCTTCTCTCTACCTTAAAGACTGAGCATCCAAATCATATTTTAATGCAAAATAGCTGTCAAGACTTAGGATGTATGTATAATAATAATACCACCCCCCTAACATATTTAGGAAATTACAGCTTAATATAATGAAATATGTGATGAAGGAATCAATGAATAATATTTTAACTGAGAATATTCTCTCTTTTATAAAAGGGGAAACTGTCACCAGCAAAACTATCACAAGCATTTACCAACTACTGCTAAAGTATATTAGCTGTACTTACCATGTGATGCTGCTGATGACAATGATATTAAACAAACATTATATATTTTTAGTTTCTAGGATTTCTTTCCCTCTCACCCAGGCATTGTACTACTTTGTCCAAGGAGATTTATCGTGGCATGTTTTCTGAAGTCAATTTTTCCCTTTTATTATAGACAAGGGCAGTCATTTATGTTTAGGGAGGGAGACAGGTACAGTGCCTTTATCTGATCTGTGTCCCCAGCCACAGCTACCTTCTTAATCGATGGCAAATTCCCACTCTGGAGGATCAGGCCCCATCTGGGCTACTTCTCAGCCAAGGAATCTATCCTTCCCTTCATCTCCACATATCTTACCTGTGATGTATTTTACTTTTTGAGGAGGGAATAATATACTATTTACCACAAAGCACAGCTTCAAAGCCTTTGTGTTGTTCCCATCTCCAGACAAAGCTTGCTATTTACCACCTTAAAAATTTACCTGGGTAAGGGACAGGAGAAGTTATTGTCTTCATTTCTGCATCCTAATTTTCACGCAGCAAATGCCCTGCATTAGGGCCAGATTCTCACTCAGATGGAAGTTATTAACTTTAAGCAGAACGGAGCCGATTTCAGCCAGCCACAGCCCGTGCCCTTCCAACACAGTCACTTTACAGCATCCCCTTGTTTGTTTTTTTCTTTGGAGGGCATGATTCTTTAAACATGTTTGTTTTACACAGAGCAGCAGTTGATTCCTAACTTTTTTATCCCCACAAACATGTAAAGAGAATATTAATAGGGAATATTAATAGAGCTGAGTGCAGCACGATGCTAGTTAGATTGTAGTAGCTGAGAAATATGAACTAGTGAACATAATCCATAAACTCCATTTGGTTACTATAATACTCCAATCTGTATTTATTACAACCCCACTCTGATGCTTATACAACAGCAATTGCTAGATTTATACACTCTAATAGTTTCACAATAGGAAAAACCTGTGTTCTTTATCTTTCTTTTCCTGCCCAAAATAACCCCTTCCACATATACTTCAGGCTTCTCTGGACCTTGTCTGGGTTTAATCACAGGCTGTGGGACAAAATGTGCATTATTAAGAAATATAAATATTTTCAGAAGCAATCAAAGGGTTGAAAGATTGATTCGGCATGTAGATTGGATTTAATTCGAAGCAGCTTTGTTCTAATGAGGACTACTGGGATACAAAGACGGCAGCCGCTTATGGCCACCAGTTGGGAACTTCGACTCGCAGCAACCTGTCAAGAATTTCAAGAAACTGCCAGGTATTAAACAGCAAAGTGGTGGGGAAGCCGGTGATCTTTTGTTTTCAGCCTCCTTCTGAGGCTGGATTAGAATTTCATAGTCCCTTTTTTACTGAAATGACAATTAAGGTTAATTTCTTGCTGCCCGTGGGGCCAAATCCTGCAGTCCCTCACTCAGGGGAAACTCCTATAGACTTTATGGGGGGCTTTGCCTAAGGGAAAGGTGGCAAAGCTTGGCTGAGCCCAAGCCCAGCAAATTTGAGAGCCCTGTAGCAATTTATACAGCTTCCAGACCTGGTGAGGTTGCTTTCAGAGTGACTTTTGTTAGATTTTGCTACCTGCACTCCTAGATGCGATGGGACCTTTTTGCATAGAAAGGTGTTTTTCCCTACAGAGAAATACAGCTCAGTGTTGGCTTGGAAGCTCTTGTGTCCTTGTTGGGTGACCCAGCAGAACTGCCGGATCCGTACTGCTTCCAGGGGAAAAGCCTGTAACGTCCAACAAAACATCCTTGAGGTGATGCTGAACAAAACAGGATGCTTGATAGCTTTCCCCTCAGACTTAAAAAAACCCCAACAGTAAAATTTCAGCGTGCACCGTGAGGGGACTGTCACGTCACAGGTACTTGGGGAGCACAAGACCCTGGCAGCTTTCCTAAATGTCGAGCGTACAGTCAGAATCACAGTATATACAGGATCAAACACTGACTAGTTTCTCTCTCCCCGTAGCCCCCCCTTTGCGTACTTTTGTCCATAAAAGCAATAGAAAGAGAGAAAGCTTGAATTTTCTGAACTGTTTCACCCATCCACAGCTGGAATTCCAAAGTGAAATGAAAATGCCTTTAAAATCAACCCTACATGGGAGCCTGAGAGAACAAGTTTTCCTTTGTTGTAGGGTATAGTATTATTTGCTGTAGGTTTTTGATATACATTCTAAATTAGGCCTGCAAAGGAATGCTTCATCTTTAATTCATCACTCTCAGCTGAAAGAGATTAGCAATGTCTAGCACGCACCCTTCGTATGGTGCTGACCTCATCAAGTATGGCCTGAAATTAATTAGCCTCATTCATTCCAAATGGAAAAGGATAATGGAGCTGCATTTTAGAGATGACCATCACAAATTGTATGCAGCATATTTAAAATCCCTCCCCCCTCACTCCCCTCCCTATTAAAAAAACTATGTAGATTAAAATTCTTTCCAGAACTTGCAATATGTCAGAGTTATCGAGGTATTAGGAGCCGAAACCACTCAGTTTTTATTTGTGGAACTGGGAGCCACATTTTGTGTGTGTGGCTGTAAAAGTAGCAAGCCTGTCTTAATGGCAGAACACCTGGAATTAATTTGATATTTCCAGGTGCTCTGGCAAACTGGGGCATCAAGCACTTGCTGTTTAAACATTCTTCCACTGGCTTGCTTAAATCAATATGAAAGTGGTGTCCCTTTGTCATTCATACATGCAAAGTGCTAGCACAAACTCCAGCTTGGCTTCAGAGTCCTACATCACTCATAATCTAATTAGAAATCAGAGCAGAGCTGAAGCAGCATTCTTTGTGGATTCTTGGGCAGCAAATAGGGATACTTGTCTTTTGTTTCCCTCCTCGATTGCATCGTTCACAAGCTTTCACACCACATCTCTAAAGGTGGTTAGGTGCCTCAAGATGTTGACAGGCATGAAGGACAAGATTATTTAGGTATTTAGGTGCCTACCCTGGGTGATTTCAAATGGAATTAAGCAACTGGATGTTACTGGGGAGGGGCAGGGGAGGGCAAGAAAAAAGGAAAAAAAAAAGCTTCCAGCGTGTATGAAAAGCTCTAATTTGTTGTCCTAAACTCTAGCAATGTGGGCAATGTTTTTTCAGGGTAAAACTGCCTGCAGGGTAAATTTACAGAAGTCTGCTCATTTGTACCAAGGTCAGCGGGTACTTGGTTTTGGGCAGCGCAGCCCAGCCTGGCGGCTCAGCCAGCTCCTCCCTGGCTGGGCACGGTGCTGGCGTGTGCTCCGGTTGCTTCCCAAGAGACAGGGAAAGTAGTAAAGAATGCGGGATTTCCCACAGGAATTTGGAAGACGCCCATGTCTAAGACAATGGTGAGGATTGGGCCAAAACCTAGATCCAGTCTGGATCCCTCCATCTGAGTAGCCCTGCCTCGACCTACGACTGCTGATGGATCGCAGCGACGTGGACCTTTCTCTCTCCTCACTCCCCAGCATCAGATCACAAAGAGGGCCTGAGATAATACTGTGAGTAAGATATGTTTTTTGTCACACCAAATAACTCATTGTGAAACTTTAGATTTGGAAATAACAAGGTCAAAATGGCCTGTATCTGCAATGCCAGGGCTTGGGGAATGTTCCTGCAGTTCGTACGTCCAAGGCTGGATACATAAGGAAAACATTTTGTCATATGCCCTGTGCACCTCATAGCCAGGAAAATTGAGAATTAATTATTTCTCTTTAACACAAACAAATATTTGTCTTCCAAAGACTCCATTCATTAAGACTGCCATTGAATCCAGGATTGAACTCATTGTTATTAATCCTAAATGAATTCAAGTTTGTCTACCATGAACAAAGCTGCTTGCCATCTGATAATCCAAATTTGCTCAGGAAAAAAGAATGAGCAAATGTTCGAAGCAGCAGGTGAAATCATACCACAGTTATTAAGCCTTCTTTCAGGGGAAGCACAGGATAGATTAAATTGTTATGTTAGGCCATGTTGTGAGTCCACGTCAATTTTGTCTGAGATCTTATCTTAGCTCAGAACCGTTTCCTCCTAAATTAAACTAAATGCTGAAGACATGAGAAGCATATTGACCCAAAGATTCAAAACTTTGGACTCAGCAGCCTTCTGATCTTTTGTCCACAGAGTATCGAGTTGTAAAGCTGTGGAATATTAAATAATCATGATTATCTTCAACTTGCCTAAGTTCATTTGTCATGCTGAAACACTGGCACAGATTTTCCTTACTGTTTTTTCAGAACAAGACATTGATTCTGCCTGCAAGCTGGATTCATTTGCCAGCCACTGATCTTACAGACTGTGGTCCTATACTAATACTAAGTCTCATGCACTAACCATGGTCTGTAATTCTGTCTCTGGCGCTCTTAATCTCTCCTTTGCAAACACCATTGTCCAATAAAGCCACAAACAAAAATCTTACAATCAAAATGACTGAACTGTGCTTGTAGTTCGATCAGCTGTTATCAGGCACAAACAGTTCTTGAGATTCAGAAATGCAGTGTAATTCACCTGGGATAAGAAATCAAATTTAAAAATGAGCTGAACAGACATTTTTAGGAGTAAATAAGTTTCTAAATAAACCAGCTTTTTAATTCCGCTTTTTCTATATTAGTACTGTAAATCAATATAGTTTGCTCTTGGAGGAACCAGATCAGTTTGAATTGTCATAATGAAAGATCATCCTGTTTCTTGCAGCACAGCCAAACAAGGAGTTTTACTCCTGACACAAGAGTTTTCTCAAGTAGGGACAACTTACTGACTTATTACAGCAATTATTTAAGCTCCAAGTGGTTCTATCATTTTTTAGAGAACAAATCTCTACCAAAATGCACGACACAGTCCCTGGTGTCAGAGCGCCGGAGAGATGGAGTTCTAGAAGAAATAATGTTGTTTAGATGCTTTTTAAATGCAAACATAACGATGATACATTAAATAATGTGATCTACTCGGCCGGACTTCTAATTATCTGCATGCAAACTGCGTGTTAATTCATCACTTCGTTCACTTCAGCTGTAATATTTGTTAGTGGTAGACATTAACACTAAGCCATAAGTTTGAATGAGAAGAAAAACAAGGGGAGTGCAAAGCTGTATATTAGCTTAGACAAGTAGGATGTCATTGTCATCCTGAATTTGTTGATGACACCAGGCATTAAGTAAGTAAATCTTTAGTTACTGAAGCAACAGTTCACTTGCTTTCAGAAATGACATCCAGGAGGCAATGCAGTGGATTTACAACAGCGGGTACCTATGTACTAATAATGGCCACTTAGCCCCAGCCACAAAATAATGAGTCAAAATGGAGATTCACCTTTCCCCTGAAAAAAAGATTTTTTTCTTATTTTAGTATCATTTCAAATGTTCAAGAGTCTGGTTTTGACCTTTTTTGGCAGTGGGGAAGGATATTTGTCTGTGAAGTATTGAGCTCACGGAGTCATTTGGACAATTTCCGTTCTCACCTAGCAAAGGCTATGGAGATGTTCCATGGTACAAAAAGGCTCCCGGTTTGGGGGTTTGTGTGTAAGGTCAGGCCTTTCTGCGGGCTGTGGTTTGTTCCCATTTGTATCAGACATCAGTCACCTATAGTGGTTTGCCCTAGATCATGGACATTGCAGGTCCACACACACACAGTGAGCTCACGGGCTGAAAACAGAAGTATCTTGAGTGGACATCATAGTTCTTTGTTCCAGCTAAATTATTTGGCTCCCCTTCTGCAAGATTTTCTCTCCATACATCCTAATTCTACCATCCTTTTCCCCTAATAACAACATAAATGAGTACTCTATAGGTGTAATTACAATAATAGCTCTTTTACTGCAAATACTAGAAGCCTGTAACCTGTAATTCACTTTTTCTGATACTCTTCTATTCTAACACTAGACATGTTATTTTAAAATGTCTAGGACCTGAAAGCTAAATTTATATAGTGATATATAATAGCAATGGAAACTAAGCCTCCTCCTTAGCTCAGGCTTTAGAGCTATGTTACATCTCTCTGCCAATTGGTGCCTTGTTCACCTATAAATATCATATCCACCACTCTCAGGATGGTTCCAATATCCGAGTTAAACAGGAGGAGGCAAGATACACCTCTGCTTAATTTAAGGTAAGAATCTATGAAAACCCAAGACATACTAGCATGCAATGTCTTCTCTTTCATTATTTCATGGAAAATTCAGGGGCAATGAGGGCATTTGCTTCTCCACAGTGAATCTGCTGCATCTCTTGTAACACCAGCTACCCTTCTTTTCCAGGGATGAACCATCACCAGACCATGACTGGAAAATGTGGGGACCAAGCACACAGAGAGGTGGCTGATGCAGCTCATTCCCTGACTGTCACTGGGCAGCTCTCTGTCATGGCATAAGTTACCAGAGGCGGGACAAACATTGTGAGGACTGTTCCTGTTCTGGCTGCTCCTCATCAGTGCTTTGAGTTGTGGGAAGCCCTGAGAACCGAGGCAACATGAGTGCGTGATCAGGTATTTGCTCCTCTCATGGTTTATATGTGAAGCACAGGGCAAGGTTTCACCCTTCTGCAGGTAAGAACTCAAACTAATTTACAGATTCAGCGTTAGTGACGAGCAAGACAATAATGCTAAAATAACTCATGTGACCCTTTGCCCTCTTCTAGAACTGACATTGTTTCATCATTTTCTCTCCATTTTCTGGATGAAGCAGCCAACATGAGGAGGGCATGCTGGCACACATCCCACTTGGTAGGTGAAAAGAACAAACCGACAAACTTTTTTAATATGCTGCAGCTTATCAACATCCCAGTGAATAAAGGGTGAATGGTATTTTCCATTGGCTATTCATAGATGTACATGGATATGCTGATAAACTGCCATTTAGTCCAGAGGCTGGACAGAAATAAATCACCAGATAAAATACAATATTCCTAGTGAAAACCTTTATGGAACGTATTCTTGCCCCAAACCCCTCCTGGAATAGACACAGGATTGCGCCCTGAGACCTGGCAGCTCTTCTAAGTGAGCATATGGTCTGCTCAGCTCTTGCAGTACCGGTGCACAGTGAATAAACACACAGCAATGTCAGAGCAAACAGGAGGCTGTTTAATAGCATGAAATTCTGTGGCTACTTCAAACTTCATCAGTACTTCAGAAATGGATTCCCCTTCTCTGCCGGAGCGTGCACTGCTTGCAGGAGAGGTAGGAGAAAACTGAGATAATCTCTTTGGGGGCAGATAGTGTCTGTAGCCATCTCTTATGAAGCTGATGCTGCTGTGGAAGGGTCCTGCCATGTCGGAAGTTGCATTTTCTGGTGATGCTACATTAGCATCTTCATTTTTCTGAGATGTCCCCTGATGCAGTGTGACTTGTACAGTAATTGGAATAGAGAGAGGGACCCGAAGGTAAAAATCCCACTGTTAATCAAGGCTGGCAAAGGGCAGAACATTAACTGAAGTAATTGTATTTCTGAGGGAGTCAACAAAGCCAGGCTCGTCAACGCTAGCAAACAGATCTGGTCCTGCCTCTGTGCTTCTTGCACTGGCAGAACATTGCACTGAAATCACTGGAGTAGGGATCGGGCCAGGAATGAGCGGCTGAGTTGCAAAGCAAATTAATTCCTGCCAAAAAAGTTCAGCTATGCTCAGAAGTATGTAAAGTGTCTGATTTGAGAAGTGTCAAGTAGCATTTGTGACCAATTATCCAAGATGAAGGGGGCAGAGCTATGTTTACATGTACTAATCTTCAGCCAAAGTTTGAAAACTCCAATTCATGGACACGCATCAAATTTCCTTTCCAGGCTTGGCATTTGCCTGTACGCACGCACGCACATTGCTTGGGGATGACAGGAAAACATGATTACGACTTGCAAATAATACAAATAAAAAAAAAAAAAAAAAGAGAAGGGAGCTGCCATGCAGCAGCAGCATGGTAATTAAGCCTATACTGTCATATGCGAAAAAAATCATGGACCGCTGTATGAGTAAAGTATCAGCTGAGCTGGAATATGATGTGTGGTGTGTCTGTATTGTTATTTTTCCACAACCTGTGAAGCTCTGGGTAATGATCTACCCCAAAGAATAAGAAGTAAAAGCTGCCTCTGCCATCTCCTGTTTAATTAACATAGGTATACTAATTTAATGCAGTTAATCAAGATGGTAGGGATAAACTAGTCACAGTTGACAACAACGATATTATCATTGCTATGGCATAGAAGGGCTACAAAATTATAGTAGTGACTGGAAACACTATGAGTAAGAACAAGCTGGCTGGAGTTTTGGGTAGGTTTCAGAGGTTTACACAGATCTATTGAAATTTAGGGGCAGCTGATTTTTCATGTGGCCAAGTGTTTATCTGCCCCTGCCCTTCCCTTTCCCCTCTCAGACCTTCCAGGGTAACCCCCAGAGTGGCAACAACTTTTAAAGCAATTCTTCTTTCTTCTAACAGGTTCCTGATGCTAAAGGTCTGACCTTAAAAGGAGGAGTGCATAGGGCAAGAATGGGTACCGCAGTGAGCTTCTGGCCTTCAACCCTTCCAAATACAGCTATTTTGGTAACCAGAACAGTATATTCATGATGGGTGAGAGAACAGAGCCTTCCAGTGACGGATTTCTCAGCACATTAACTCTATCAGTGCTGGATGCTGTGTCCCTATGTAGGTTGCCCGTGTCTATTTAAGACCCCCAAATGCAGATTTGCAGAAGTCTGCAGCTTTCTGTAACTTCATGGCCACGCTTCAGTGCCTGCTGCATCTGAAAACCGAACCATTCTTCCTGGGGATTTCCATGTAGATGTGGGGACAACTGCAATCACATGCCACTGTGAGTAGTTCAGACTTGGATGTCTTGTCTGCAGGAGAGGCACAGCCGGGTTTGCTATAGTGCAACTGTCCTCATTAACGTTCTTCAAGCCCTGACGTACTGGGACAAACATCATTGGCTGAGTTTTTTGGGCTCATTCTTTCGGCTTCAAAATGTTAAACGGGGTGATAATGAATAGTAACCGTGTCCCTTTTTATAGTGAAGTTGACACTTGCCTTCTAGCAAACACAGAGATGACCCTCCTCATTTCACACATGTCACCAAGCAGCCCCTGGGATGGGAAGGGTTACTGGCCATTTACCAAACTCTGTTTGACTTGGGTTCATGGGTGAGAGATGAAAGGCACTATATTGCATTACCAATCCCTGGGGCCAGGCAGTCTCCCTAAAGAAGCATTTCATTTAGCAAGGCAACTGCTGGCCCATGGGAATTGCATAGTTAAGAAAAAGAGGAAGCAGTTTCAATTGCAAATGCTTTCTTAGGGCATATGTCTTAAAGCCACATGGAAACTCTGCTTCAGTGTGGCAGTAGATGCTCCAGGACACAATGGCCAGCAGATTTTTCCTACAATTGTTCTCCCTTTCTTCTCACCAAAATATCCATCAGGTTACTCATGGTATTTCTGCCTCTGCCCTATTCTGTTTTGCTCCATCTCTGTTGGGGATATGCCCCATACCTGGAGCAAGCCCAGTGCAGCGGGTGTGAACTGTTACCTTTTCTAAGAGCTTCAAAGTCTAGGCAACATGCTTTCTTCATCTCCCAGATGAAACAAGTAGCCCTGATATCACACTTAGAGCTTCTGTCAGGAGCTTGGAAGGAGCATTCTCCTGAACATTTCAGTATGCTAGAGCCGAGATGCTAACTGATTTTCTTGGCTATAGTGGAGAGGTCCTTGCTATCGGGGTAATCCAAGTATTGCCTTTTTACAGATGATGGATGCAGTGCTTAATGTTGCAATGGTTACAGGAAGGAGAACATCTGCTGCTCAGACAGACCAAAAATTCAACCTGGATTCAGCCCGAGTTCCTTATGATCTCAAAATCCAGTGTTGTGCCAAATTCATTAGCTCTGGTCAAAATCCTCTTTAGCTTTTCTTCCTTGCTGTTTGGGAAGTGAATCACGAGACGTTCAGAAGTTGCATTTGTTGTTTGATACTTTTATGTAACGGTTGTAATAGTGAATCTGATGAGTCAGCAGTTCTTTCCATGTTTGTTTGTTTATTTATTTAATAGTCCATTTCCAGCAAGTTCTTGTTACCCAGTTCCTGCCGACAACCAGGGAACAGGAACAAGTCAGCTGAGAAAATGAACGACTAGAAGGTAAGTGAAAAGAAGAGTAAATGCAGGCCATTCATGTGACAGGATCCGATTCATTTTTGTGCCAGGGAGATTTTTTTAAATGGGACTTCTCCCAGTGGAGACCATGCAATGCTCAAGGCCTGCTTCACTATAAAGACAATACATAATTATTCAGAGCTTATTATTATTTTTTATCACTCATTTTCTAGTCACATGGAGCAAGGGCACAGATGAGATCAGGACCTACTTTATTGCCATGCACTGTACAGATTGTACAGTACACTGTACTGTACGAGCCCTATAAAAGGTGCTAACTATCTGCTTTATGGAGGCAGACAAATGCACCCAGGCTGAAGGTTGAAGTTACTGGTCTAAGATGGCAGAACCCATCGACAGAAAAATGGGGACTCAGCCTCAGACCCTCTATCCCAGGATCATGATGCTTTAGACATCTTTTTTTGTTTACATTTATTTCGCATCACTGAAATGGTGAATTGAATAAATGCCATGTCTTTTGAAACATTATTTATTGTATTTATAGGAAACAGTTTATCTGTTCTCTCAGGCTAGTGGAAATTATTAAGAGTGATAAACTCATCAGGAAAAAATGTAGGTTGGGTGTGACAGGGAAATGTGTGTTTTATTCTGCAGTGCTGTCTTAATCTCTGGTTTTGGTATGACAGACTCTGTGGTCTCAGTGATACTGCACCATCCTGTTCCCTGCTTCCAGGCTGGGGTCACAAGTTGGACTTGGAAGAATCATCTTCTGTGCAGAAATGTGACTGGGATATGAATACTATTTCAGGGTAAGTGGATTTTTGTTTAATTTGGGTTTAATATACAATGTATAAAGTCCATACAAAGTCTGTTGTTAATCCCAGTCTAGATGTGAACTGCATTTGACCACTACTTGTTCAGTCCCATAAAGCATAGCTGTGTACCACAGCAACATCTCCTCTATTCATGAATTAAAATTATTTTGCCAGGTCAGCCCTTTGGAATTCAGCGTTTCATTCATAAAGGATTCTATAACAAACACCAGTTGTGCTATCTCTCTACTTTCTGATGAATTAGGTGATTTTTCTTATGTCTATTTACATTTTAATTTATTGTAACATTTGTTTACTTTCTTATTTAAACAATTGAGACTTTTACAAAAATAGTAAGAGCCAAAAAATAACTCTCAGAGACTGAACGGATACTTGTTATAATTTTCTCTTTAGTACTTGCAAGTTTTGGGTTATCTTATTCAACCTTTCCATGTTGACTATGTTTTGTTAGTTTTCCTCAGACACAGAAGGCAGTGATAATGGATAATGTGTCTTATAGGTTTCTTTACAGATGAAACTAATGAGGTGTCCCGAAGTCGAGTAAATACTCAATACCAGCAACTTATATGGGCGCTCTGTGCTACTGCTGCTGCTTTGAACCTATTTATTCAGTCATTTGGACTTTAACTGCTCAGACACATTCCCTTCTGCTGCAACAGCAGTGATACAGGAAGGTGTGTTTTAAACCATGTAGTCATTTCCATCTTGTATTTCATGAGGGGTTATTCTTGTTTCAGAGATGAATCATTCAAATATCCTTCTACAGATTCCAGGTGAGTTACTCACATTTAGATGCTTCCAAGTAATACACAGAAAGGTGCTGAGAAAATGACGAGTCTCTGCCTAGTCAAAAAGCAAAAGTAGATCTGAGCAAATTACATGTACTAGTGCTCAAAATCCTTCTAAGGAGACCTGGGGCCAAAGGGCTCCTACCTTCAAAAATGTGTGGCCAACAGGGATGCACAGTACTTGCTTTACTGACTGACCCATCAGCTGCTCTCTGTCCCCAGAAACAGTTCAGGAAATGACTGAAAGTATCTGAAGACATAAAAAGGATAATTAAGTTTCATTGTGGGAATAAGAAGGTAATCTGTCCAGACAAATCTAGGACCTAGTATTGAAAATTGTAGCATCTGAATATAAAAAATGAGTAATTTTGAATAAAGATGTCTATCAGGACTGTAAATTCAGAGAGTAAAAAAGTAGCTTTGCTTAACAGACCATCTCTCTCTCCATCTTCCTCTAACTCATTTTCTCGTTCTCTTTCTCCCTTTTGTGTTAAAAAAAAAAAAAAAAAAAAAAAAAAAAAAAAAAGCATGTAAAATCTGATACTGAGAATGCTTTAGCTTCATTTCAATCTTCTCTTCTCAAAATGTTTTGTTCCACTGTGAAGATTCCCCCTAGGAGATAACCTTAGGAATGACTGCACTAGGCTCGTAGGGCCACTTATTTGCAGAGAGAACAGCTATATTTTGAGGACTCTCGGAGGCAGCCAGGTCCCCACTCTTCTGAGGCTCTTAAAGATGTCTTTTGAGCTGGCATGAGAAATCACCTGGGACTCAGAGCAGATCACAAGGTGCTTAGGACAGTATTTTCTCTGCACCTATTTTTTGCTGAGCAGAATTGCTGCACTATAAACAAATGCAAGTTTTGCCTCATTCTTAGATACTGTGAGTTATGAAACCCCACTCTAGATGTAATGAATGTATAGATCATTTTGACCAGATCATAATCTATTAGTAAATAATGTTCCCTGAAAATGTATAGGTGAAATAAAGAACTTCTTGCTACTGTATTCGTGCTGTATTGGTATCAAGGACCACTGATGAGGCCAACATGATCCTGAAGCTTTGTGCTACTGATGTTTAAATGCAATGCAGAACTAACTAGAGGGTTTGGTTAGCAGATTCCTTCCTGGATTAGGATATTCAGGATTTATACTCCTGGAAGCAGGATCTGAAACTATACAAAGTTTACCTGTCCCTAGACTTTATCACAAACCCCATACTTCAGTTCACTGACATGTTCACTAAGATTTATAAAAATTTTCTATTAGGCTCCCCTTATTTTGGTAGTGCTATCAATAGGCAAATCACACAACAATTTTCAGAATGAGCATGACTGATACAGCAAAGCCCTATAATACCTATGACTTCTTCACTGTCCATGGAGGAAGCCCAAGGATACCAAACTGTCTGAGACCTACGGCCATTTGTCAGCACAGTCGCTAGGCCATGGGAAGGCTAGTTTTAAAGAAGATGGTACTTAAGGGACATTTGTGTGACACATGCTACGGTGTCCAGAGATAGGAGTCTATGTATTTTGCTCTAAATCTGGAGAGGAAGTCACTAGGAAAAAAGGGAAAGAAGCACGGGGGAATAAAAGTACTTTTGAAAGAGAAGAAATCTACATTTCAATGAAAATCCTTTCAAGGCATTTCAAATAAGAGTCTGAGAGAAATAATTACAAAGTTTGGAGAGAAAGAACGTTAGCTTTGATATCTTTTTCTTCTATGAAGCAATTAAAATAAGCAATTTTTCAAATACTAAGCAGAAAATTACTAATGGCTGAACCCAAAAGCTTTCATTTCCTTCTTGGGGCCTTTATTCTTCTAAAAAAAGACAAAAAAAATGTGAAGGTGGTTTTCCAGATAGATTAATGCATAAAGCAGTCGCTAGTTGGATGTCATAAAAACTACAGCAGCATAGAATAGCTGAGATTAAGAGCTAGATTTAAATCATGCAACAGTCCAGTTAATATCAATGTCTAATTAAGAAATGCATAAGAAGTCTGTAATGTTGATTTGATGGAGAAAAACTCTAATAGGGTTTCTTTTGGAATTTTCCATTTCAATTGCTGTGTAGACTTTTAATGGATGTCCTATCCAGTCTTTGGTATTAGCAGGAATCATCCTCAAATTAAAACCAAGGCCTAAAATGGAACACAGGTAGACAAATTAGCTCGTCTGGGAAGCAGTCTGGGTAGAATGACAATGTGAGCTCAAGCCAAAATTTTTAGTACAAATAGAAGAGAACAAATGTCTCAAATCTGCTGTGGAAACCCTATCTGCTTATCATTTTAAGCAATGTAAAACCCTGTAATTTTAAACAATGCAATGTTAACCCATTTCCCCACCTCCCTAAGCCTGCTGAAATCCCTGACAATTCATACTTAGAAATTCAGACCACTAAGCATTATTAATTAGTCTTTTTAAATAGGAAGGCTTTCTACAGTTATGTATATTAGTAGTATGTAGAGGTGGGCTCTTCTTTGCTTGCAGTGGGATTTAGAGCACACAGTTCCCTATCACTATCAATGAATGCCATTAATCTCCCACTCCTCTCTGGGCAACTAAAGCTCTTAAACTCTTTGAGCAAAACTAAACCTGAGGCATCTGCTGTGTCACACAGATCATCCAGGACGTTAGGTCTCTAGGTATGAAAGGGGAACTGGTTTTATCCTGCATGTCACTAATGCCCTAAAGTTGTTAAACTAGGAGCAGTGTAACTGTTAGTACGCACAAATCCACATTGCAAAGAGGGGGAAAGCACAGCACCGGATTAAAGCAGGGTATTTGCTATCACCACTTTGTTGTTGACCCAACAAATCCGGAGGGAATTATCTCAAGAATCCAGGAAGACAGCAAACTCAAAATAACCCCTCTGACCCAGGCAGCAAACACACCCGGGAGTAATTTTTAAGTTCATTAGAACACATTAAAATACAATACATTGGCCGTGCTAAAGCGAGGCATATGATTCCATCTGTCTACATATTTTTTTCCCAGTATTAAATCCATCCAGAGATCTTTTAGAATCATATCAGTAAGGCTTGTCACTTCACTTAGCAAACAGAGAGTGGAAAAGACTGGAGGTAAAATCAGAGTAACGGTGAAAGTTTGGCACTTCCGAGCCACAGTCGTTGTCTGAAATTCGTGCTTGACATTACTCCATTGATGAATGAGGCACAAATGTGTCATATTAAACAGTGGTACCGTGGCCCTGGGGAATGGCCCAAGGATTTTTCTCCTTGAAAGAGATGGGAACTAGGATGTTCTGAGTGAGGCATTTGCCTTCTGAATGATACAGAAGGTCTAATGTGAGGACATTCAGGTCATCACAGGAGTCTGTTCCTCCTCCACCCCCCCTTGACTATATGACTGGGGAGGTACCATGGGTAAAGATGCTTCTAGATGATTGTTCAGATGGAGCACTGCCCTAGCGGGGTGCTTTGTCTGCAAGCTTTGCTGGATTAGTGCAATAATTAAAAAAAAAAAAAAGGAGTATGAAGCAGGCTGTCTTTTACAAAAAAGCATGCAACAGACAAACAAACCTTAACTTGTGCAACACACTTGAGAGCCACAAATTCTGTTACAGTTTTGCTAAATGAGAAGAAAAATCTTCCTTTCCTCCATAAAACCATCCTTCTAGACATTACTGCAGTCATGACCTCACTGCACTTCCTGGATTCTTTCTGAAAAGATTAAAATGAACCAATATACCAGTGATCTCATCACAGCGTGAAGGACATCTTACACAGGGGAAAAAAAATCAGGAGTTGCTTTGTTTGCATCAAGAGTAGGTAAAGCACTATAACGTCATTGTGGAGAAACACTAAAGGTACAGAGAGGCATTTTTCCATCTTATAAACTGTTTGGTTTTATTCTACCTGATCTTGCCTGTCACATCTGTCATCATTTTAGTTGTCTCCACATCTATTCTCTTTCTTTTTTCCTGATTTTCTCTGTACTTTCCCTGGTCTTTCTATGCCCTTCCTATATGTTTTAATGTATCTGATTACTTTGAATCATACATACTACTATTCTCAACTGCATCCAAAATACATTTTGCAGAATGCATACATACAATCCTGCTACACAAAAGTATTCACACATTCTTCATCTATAGCTCACGTTATTCTGGGTAAGAACACCTTTCCTATATGTATATACAGTTCTCAGGCAAAGGCCTCATGGATTATGACAGTTCTCATCTACTTTGAAGCTGTTGTATCTTCTAACAGAAATCAGGAGGATGAGTAGGGAGAGTTGCTTTGTTTTCTTTGGTAGAAGAACCTATAAATTAGTATTTATGTAACCTAGAATCCCACATTTTTAATGTATCACATTCTGAGGTCGGAAGCTAGAATATCTTCTGAACATGAAGAGTACAGCGTTAATAATGTAATCTTATCTCTTGTGCCCATAGGTACACCTCAGCTCTGTCTTGAGATCACACCATTAGGCAATGAGGTGACAAACCGGTTTCCTTTCTCAAGCCAAATGTCACGTAACTGCCCAGGGGCCCATATTGGTGGTGGTAGTCTCCCCTGACTTTTCAAGGAGAGATGTGCCGGTGTGACCCATTCCCACCCTGTATGCTTGTCAGGAGGAGACAAACCTGCTCATTTCCATCTGTAGACATTTCTCAGCCAGGAGGAAAGCCACGAGGCATCAGACTGTAGGCTGGGAGGCATTAGAGCAGCCACCTGTTAGACACTGAGAAAGAAACCTCCAAACACCATCAAGTGGTGAGGAATTCCCAGGTCTAAAGCAGGTGGATGTAAAGGGTGATGGTACTTTTCTACGCACCCAAGATTTGTTACTCCTAGATGGGGCAGCAGACAAACTTCCAACCCCAAATGCTCTGCAGTTGATAGATGTGATTTAGTGAAGAGAGCCCCAATCAGGATAATACCTGCCACAGCATTCGTAGAAGTCCAAAAGACCCAAGGAGTAGTGCAGAGCATCTGTTACCAACAAGAAAATAGTGGGTGAGAAGCTGTTGTAATTCCTCGCCCCAGGGTCCTGTCTGGAGGCACAGACTTCCCAAGGCAGAGGGGAGTTGGATAACTCAGGACATTCAGTGAAATCTCACCCCCCTGCAGATGTACCAGGTCAGCTCTGTCCAGGTCAAAGGAGTTGGGTAAGGTCCTCAGGTCTGCCTCAGATTCATTGCTCTATTGGTTGTGAAGGGGAATTCATAGCAGATCAGGATCTTGAACTGAGACTGGCCTACCAGCTGAAGTTGTATGAACAAAATCACATATCCCCAACTACAAATAAAACCAATGGCCAATTGTAGCCTAATCATCACTTCTGCCAGAGGAAAGAGAAACTCTTTAACATAAGTTCCCTTGGATGAAATTCTTCTTTTCCAGATTAAAGAAGGGCTGCAACTAATACACATCCTGAGACATAATGTGGATTTGCACCTTTCCCATTAAATATAGCTGGTTTGTGTCCAAAGCATCGCTTCTATTCCTAATGCTCAGTTATATCATTACAATTTCTACATTAGTTGCAGGTGTGAAATGATGACTGATTCGCATTTCTCTTGCTGTCAACAGAAGAGTAATGTGTGTCCAAGGCCTGATTCTCAGAGGTGAGGTCACCAGGATCTCCATTTGCACATCTGCTTTGCTAAACACAAAACTGGAGATTTGCAAAGCTCCAGTATGTACAAAATGGAATGAGTTCACTGGGGGCCATACATGAGAAACTGTGCTCATTTAGTAGGCAGGTCACAGAATTTTCCTGCTATACAAAATATTTGCTGTTTTACAACCAGCAGCATTTTGCTAGTCTTCACGTGTGGATACCTGTATGCTCTATATTAATAATGAAAAAAGCTGCGCTTCATGGTACATGATACAAGAGAAATCAGGATACCAACAGGTTAAAAACCAGTCAAATACATTAAGTAGCTTCAGAAAGATGCTAATATTCACTGTGTCCCTGCTTGGACTGTGCAGATACTGAGATGAGGAGACTGCCTGATCAGAGCTCCCGGAGGGATGATAGTGCTGGAGCCTGTCTTACACAGAGGCATCCAAATTTGGTTTTGAGGGCTTCAGGAGAAGCATTCAAATATTTCTACTTCCTGCTGTTAGTGGATTTTTTTCATACCTTGGAAAAAGTCTTGCAATTATAATGTGTTTGCACTTGATACCTAGATAATGGTTCTTGCTCAGGGACCTCTAATACACAGTGTTTTCTGCCTTCTACATTTTACATGAGATCAAAGACTAATCATATATATATATATATACACCAAATTATTTCTTGTTTTACTGCTAATCTAGAATATCCTTCAATATCTGCAATAAAGATTACCATGAGTAATCTATACAAACTATCTTTTTGTCTTGTATAGCAGATATTTTTACCTTTTAATGTCATCTGGTTATGACATCATGATTCTGGTTATTCTGGATTTACAGGACATTTTAAACACATGCATTGAAGGATCATTCACCACTATGCACTACACTTTTCCTCCCTCTGTTTGACTATGTCTAAAGCTTTTTGGGGTAGTGGAAGCAAAATTGATCTTAATGTCCAAAATGAGAAAACAGGGATTTGGTCATCAGCTCTGCATTTCATTACATGGAATTTAGACCTACCATTCCCACAGTGACTTAATTTGAATTAAAACCAAGTGATTTCAGAACTCCATAGCACACTGGGGAAAGCCATGAGCAGAACTCAGGTGAGAGCGCATTTCATGAACGTCTGAGAACCCAGCCCTGAGACTATGCTGCTCAGAATGGACATCTCCTTAAGGAAGCTGTTAAAAATAATTTTCACAAGGATTAGAAGACATGAACTTTTAATACTGAGAAAGGGAAGCACTAGATTTTTAAAGAAAAGCTTGATTCTGAAAAAATTCATTCTAGAATGGTTTGGGTTGGAAGGGACCTTAAAGATCATCTAGTTCCAAATCCCCTGCCACGGACAGGGACAAATTCCAATAGACTGAGTTGCTCAAAGCTCCATCCAACCTGTCCTTGAACCCTTCCAAGGAGGAGAGATCCACAGTTTCTCTGAGAAACCTGTTCCTCATCACCCTCACGGTGAATTCCTTCCTTATGTCTAACCTAATTCTACTCTCTTCCAGTTTAAAACCATTACCTCTGGTCCTATCACCACACTCCCTGTTAAGGAGTCCCTCCCCAGCTTTCCTGTAAGCCCCTCACAGGGGAGGTGCTCCAGCCCCCTGATCATCTTTGTGGCCTCGTCTGGACACACTCCAACAGGTCCGTGTTCTTCTTCTGTTGGGGGCCCCAGAGCTGGACCCAGCACTGCAGGGGGGGTCTCACAAGAGCGGAGTAGAGGGAGAGAATCCCCTCCCTTGACCTGCTGGCCACACTTCTCTTGATGCAGCCCGGGACACTGTTGGCTTTCTGGGCTGTGAGCACACACTGCTGGTTCATAGTCAGTTTTCCATCCGCTAATGCCCCCAAGTCCTTCTCCTCAGGCTGCTCTCAATCCACTCTTCACCCAGCCTGTATCTGTGCTTGGGATTGACTTGACCCTTGCACTTGGCCTTGTTGAACTCCATGAGGTTTGCCCGGGCCCACCTCTTCAGCCTGTCCAGGTCCCTCTGGATGTCACATCCCTTCCCTCCAGCACATTGATGCTACCACACAGCTTGGTGTCATCAGTGAACTTGCTGAGGGTGCACTCGATCCCGCTGTCTATGTCACCAACAAATACGTGAAATAGCGCTGGTCCCAACACTGACCTCTGAGCAATGCCACTTGTCCCTTCTCTCCACTTGGACATCAAGCTGTTGACTGCAACTCTGAGTGTGGCCATCCAGCCATTTCCTTATCCACCGAGTGGTTCAGCCATCATTATCCTGGTATGCTAAAGGAACTGCTGTAGCAGACCTCGTGGCTTGTATGGCTCCTCATGGAAGTGGCTATTGAATTAGGAGGTGTCCTTTCCCCCCGAAATTTACACCAGAAGTTCAGAGCTGTCATGGTTCATCAGGATGACTTCATTACCTTCCTGATAGGAATTACATTTGTTTCCCTGGGCTGTAGAATATAGACATAATAAACTCATGAAATGGGAAAAGAGATACTGATTTTCTTGGGATGAAACACAGAAAAAAAGGGGCTTTAAAAACATTGGCATATAATATGCTCAGGATTTTTAAAGAAAGTTTAAAGAAACATTTTTAAAGAAACATTTTCCAAGTGCATGCCTGTTGGTTTTATTTTCATTTTTGCCATGTATAATTATGAGAAACTTACAGACAACTCATAAGATTTTTAGTTTCTTTTGAGAATTGCTTTTTCCAAGATAATTCTGTATGCTATTACTTTAGCCCACTGGGTATCATGTAGGCAAGGTGTAAGATTATACACATGAATATTTCTGTCTACCACATATGCGTGCTGAGACAATACCAACTTATACTTCGTCCTGTCATTGGTCCTTATTCCGTAGAGGATATTCTTAATTACCAGCAAGACAATTTGGTAATATCATATAAAGTGTTACAGCATCATTTCTGTGATGATTTACACCTGCTAAGGGTCTGATCATTGAATCTTAAACCATATTTTAAGTTCAGAAGATAGAGAATATTTTTTCTATAGGACACTGTTTCTATTTTTAATAGAAATACTCTCCTTTGTTTAATTTATTGGCACAGTTCCCCTAAATGATGTGGAGCTTTTGAACATGAAGACACCATTTTCGCACAGTTGCGCTGCCCTGAAAAATTTAGAGCACACTTCTGTACCAGCTTAAATCAACTCAAGTCTAAATGCCTAAACGCTATTTTCGACAACTGTGCATGAGGGACGTACCTTTACAGGGATTCTAAAGAATACAGAACTAAAAATATCTCGGTTGCAGAGCAAATTCACTGTATTCCTTCCTCCAATTTGTGCTTATGGTTATATACATTTTTTAACTCTTGCAGGTTTATTCGTAAATCTGTTGGAAATTATTCCATTGACTCAGACTCTGTTTTCTACTGGATTAAGGAAGAAATTTGTACATCAGATTTGCTGGTGATGTCCCACTAATGAAATGGTGAATTTTATAAACTCATCAGGGAGGGTAAGTGCCCAATAGAAAAGATGTCAGATAGAGATCCAGAAATTACAGTCACTTGTAACAGAAATAAAACAAGGAATGCTTACTAATGAGTCATGAATTTCTTTATAATTGCTTCCACATTTGGTCAACTTTTCCTTAAATCATCTACAGAGACCCTGCAATTCATGGGACTTTTGATAGTTGTTATGATCAGAACAACACATTTCATCTGATAAAAATTACTTACGTTGGGAAGGATTTTTTCCTCCTCAAATTACTTTTCCGAGGATTTATTTCAATCCCCAGTTATTTTCTTATCCTCCTCCTCATTTTCTATTTCTAATATAAAAACAGGAGTTCATATCAATTTAGAAGAGAAATAAAACTAAAGAAAATTCAGGCAAAACTTTAAAGCATGGTCTATTTTAAAGTTCCAACTCAGATAATAAGAATTTTTCGTTTTGTGCTGTACTTCTCTCATGAACTCAGTTTTCCATAGTGCATTCAGTGATGTAATAATGCAAATCAAATACAATTTTAATAACTCCTTCCATTAAAATGATCTATTAATGTTTTAAGACTTCAACACTTATGAGCATGATTCTAATTGCATGAATTTGCTGCGGGCAGGTTTTAGAGATCTGCCTGATCTTCAGATATTTGCACTGTTTGGATTATTTTAAATAAATTAATTTTTGGAAGAGCTTCAGTCTCAGTAACAACAATTGGGTTTGATAGTGGTTTTCTGGTGGGTAATTGTAGGTATCTGCTTTCATGTGAAGAAAAAATGGATAATTTAGAACTCTTTGAAAGGAGATGGCTGAGGTTTATACAATGTCAAAAGTTATGAAGAATGTTCTGAAGAGTGGAATGTTTATTCACTATGTTAGTACAAAGTGCAAAAGAGGTTAAAAGTGAACAAAATTTTACGTCTGTCATGCAGCACAATTAAACCATGGGACTTTCTGTCACAGAATACTAAAAATATAATCAAATTTAAAAAGGAATTGAAATTCATGGAAGATGGTTCCTTTGTACCATTAAACATTCTTGTTTTATGTAACTTCTATTGTCAGTCTCTAATGCACTGAGTGACACGAACAAGGAAGATGCCTCAGGAGAAGAATTAGCTTGTGTTTGACTTCTGAAATTTTTCTGTATGTCTGCTAGGGGTTTCTGCCACAGACGTGGTGAGGGGCTAGCTGGACCTTTGGTCTAACCCAGCACAGCTACATCTAGGCAAGACAAACGGTTTTTTGAAAGCTTGTTTGTCTCTTCAGAAACCTGTGAAAAACCTCAGGTTTTCCTGTCATTCTGCAGAGTGGGATGAAGACAACGAACAAGATGGGCCTTGGGAAGAAAATAAGAAGGACAGCAAGAGTTGCAAAGAAAGCATTTGCTGAGTGGCCTGGTAGGCTCTTGGCCACTGGCATGCTGGCTCTCCTCCTCATATGTGTTATTATTCCCCTTGAGCATAACCTTAGATCTACAGCAGAAGGTTCCCTCTTTCAAGCTGAACCAAAGCATCAACACAACCTTGCACTTTCGAGTCAACATTTCTTCTGTAGAGAATTTACTCCAATTTTTGTTCATGACAAATGCCTACATAAGCCTTGAACAAATGACTGTTAAAACTAGAAATGGTAATTTTCTTTGGAGGTTCAAGAATTCCTATTTCCTGAATGTTGCTAATTGTGCACTGAGAAGTGATTCCTGCAAAAAAATAACATGTCCTTTAGTGAATATGGCTTTACCCACTGTGGCAGTGTTGGTTCTTCTGCCTGATGAACCCTGCGTCTGGCATGACAGAAAAGAAGAAAATTTCCTTTGATATATCAAGGGTGTGTTTTCCTTGCAGGATGGAGTCCTAACAGACTTCCCACAGAGTTTATACACTGTCAAAGAAGTTGTGTATAATTTGTGCAAAACCTATGACAAATTTTCACTTCAACAGAAACACTTTAGTTCGGTCCTATTTGAGAGTAATGGAGGGGACAACAGGCCATAGGTGTACAGGCTTTGAGAAATGCAACGAACAGATACTCAGAAATATGGATAATTTCAGCAGTATTTGAAGTTTCAGTGCTGGATCAACTCAGAGCATGAAGTTCTCTATTATTCCTCCTCAGAAGCCATCCCAAAGAAGAAGACCCTGAGATACTGAATTGATGATACAAGTGGATAATGTCTGTGGTTTCCCATGAAAACTCTGTATAGGAAAATGCCAAACAGGCAAAAAGGTTTGCAGGGAATCATGTGGCTTTAATGAGGCTTCTCAACTGAAAAAAAAGATGTTAAAGACATTTCAAAATAATTCCAAGTGTCCCAATATATGTTTTTCTAAATTAACATTTATTTGCTTTGAAATATAGTTTGGTTTTAATATTTAATTTGTAAGTGAAAGCAAAAAATGAAATATTTTGAAATTACTGAAGCAAATGGCTCAGTCTGATTTTTTTTTAAAATTTTGTTAGCAGCTTATTGGATAGCCAGAGAATTAGTTGGAAAAAATGAAAACTCCCAAAGGATGGAAAAAAGCACTTCTCTGACAACTCTAAAATGAGAGAAAAATATAATGACATTTTCATTTAGCATAAAGATTTAGTAAAATACCCACATTTTCTTTGAAGTTGCAAAGACTTGAACTTGGACACATTTTGGGTTTGTTTCCAAGTGTAATGCTTACTTATGGTAAGTGATAATGTTTTTAGTAGACCCGGCCATCTACACTCTTAGATAAATAACTGGAGGTATTCCAGCCTGTACAAGGGTTAGAGTCTCTATATCATACACTGTCACAAGAAGGAGGGCAGGAAGTATGAGCAGGGAATTTCACAGTTTTAGTCCAAAGTAATGTGTTTAAACCCAAAATGATGAGTAATTATTAAATAATTTAAAAGTGGGCTGTCCAAGGAGAAAGAGCCCTGGGTGCCAGGAAGAGTTCAGCTTCGTAGGGGAAAGTGGGAAGGCTCGTATAGCTACACAGCACAGTGCTGATGGTGTAGGGGAAGAACATCCTTAGATGTCTGCTCAATTTGCCAGGAATTTCTCTTCTGAACTATTACCTCCAGTTTTCTCCAGAACACCCTCAGTCCTTTTATCTGTGAGCTATCTTGAAGTTTACTGTCTGCCTATCGCCTTGGCTGAACCACACTAATAGTCAGCTAATTACATGTGAACGCTCTAATTTGCTTTATGTCTTTCTCAAAAACCCGTGCGTGTGCAGGCATGCACGTGAGTAAACTTTTGCTCATGCTATAAAATTGCAGCGCTGTGTAGAATTAGTGTGCCAGCCGAAGCACGATAAAATTTGTTGCATGTTTGCTACCCCCTCCATTGCTTTCCCCCAAGCAGGCTACCACCAATGCTTGTCATTCCTGATTTGCAACATCACCTGTTGCTCCAACACCAGGCTTCTCTAGACCAGAAACTGGAGCAAAGAAGAGAAATACGTGTTTGTCATTGAACTGAACTGAGAAGAAGGAAGAGGAGAACGATAAGATCATAGCCTGCAGCACTTTGTTTATGAGAACATCCTTCCAGTGATATATGTCTGCACCAGGTGAAAGTATTGTGTCACCCCTAACATATTTTAAATGCCAGGGCTGTCATGCAAGAAGACAATGATGAACAAGTTTAAACAGAATATGGTATTGTAGCCATGTACAGAGTGTTACCCTTTAAAGGTTTTCACTGGTAGTGCTTCTTAGCAAAATGTTTCCAAACTCTGTTATATTCCCCTACAGAACCTCTCTCACAAAGAATTTAAACTGAATGAAAATATTTCTTTTGCAGATAAACTGATGGGGTTATACATACACCAGTGTGTTTTCTCACACGTTTTTTTTTTTCAGGCCACTTCACAATGTCCTTCCTGCCATACTGTCTGAGCTTCTCATGACTCCTTAGGAACCCTGCTTCGCTTAGCAAATAGGCAAATAAAGGTATGTCTACACTGCACGCTGAAGAGCAGGGACTGGCCCCAGGTCACTGCATGTCAGGGGTTTACTCGGACTAGCTCTAGCATGTTCCTGCAGACAGAATTCCCATTAGCTGCTGGAGCTCCCAGACCACATCATCTGGTTTGATTTCACACAAAAGAATTCAGTTTGCATGCCCCAAGACTGCCTCGCGTTGGCGGGGCAGGGTAAGCAGGGTCATTTGGAGGATTCACTTCAAAAGCACACTCCTGAGCCAAAGTGAAATGCTAAAGTAGAAGCAGCTTCTGTCACAAAGCAGGTATGCCCAGAGCTATCATCATATGGCACTTTTCTTCCCAGATATTTATCTTGAGCTCAACTGCATGAACACCACCACAGTGTTATAACGTGATTGCACAACATGACTCATTTGCTCAGACTGACAGCTCAAATTGAGCCTTGGGACAGCCAACATCCAACACATGATATTGAATATGGGCATGACCATATCCACCTTGGATTCAGGTGAAAGAGCTTTAGCCATGTATGTCACATGGGAATGAAGGCAACCGTGACACCACGGAGTTTTACGTCTTTGAGGCAAGCTAAGGTCAGAGACACTCCATGAACCATCCAGGACAGAATTAATAACACTTTACAAGAGAGAGAAAAGGGAGCTTCTGATTGCCTGAAAAAAATGTTCAAGAAGCTAGGATTTCTTAAGCACTTACTGAGGTCCTGTGTGAGTTTATGTAACATGCTCAGCATCTTCCCATCAGTTTTCCTTTCTATAAAATGGAAACACCTTATTTTTCTCATGAGGTTATTAGGAGGATTTTCCAATTAAGGTTCTTTATAAATGAAAGTGTCTTGCAAACAGTATTTAATCACCTGACTAAAACTGGTCTCCAACTTATTTAGGCAGAACATTAGGTTTTACATGGACTAGTCATGGTGCCCAGTTTAACGTAAGGCTGCGGGATCATACACTGCATCTTTAAGACATAGTTTACTTCTGAATCAGTAAATGTACCAGACAAAGCAGCCATTATTTATGCATTCCTGCATACATGGCAAGGTGAAAATAATAGAATAAACATCATATACTTCATTATGATATCGGTTTACACTTCCAGGGTACACAAAAAGAGGCCATTTCATCAAGCTAATTGCCTGAAAGTAAAAGAGAGAGAACTTTAGCTATTAGTCTATTATGGGGCTTTTTTCTTAATCACAAATAGGGGCCGTGTGTCCCCAGGGGGATGTGTATTCTAATTTACAATTGAACTACAGATCAGAGCAATCAATCTTGTGCAGCACTTTTACAGTGTAATTGCTGCAACAAAAAAAAAAAAAAAAAAAAAAAAGCAGCCTAAGTCGAGTTTCAGCTTGAGGTGGAGATATTTACCAGGCATTGGTTCGGGGTGGGAGGGAGGCAGAGAGAGAAGAGAGGCGCCAAAGCTATGAATATGCAATGAGGGCTCATTAGTGCCCCAGTGTTGCCATGACGAATGGCATTATCCCCAGACTGGTGCAGCCTAAACATGAATTTTATAACGACCCATTTATCATGACTTGTCATGGGTTTCTTTACTGTACTTTCTACTGACTCTCACACCTTCCACCATTATCACCTCAGAATTCCTTCCTTTTGTTATTTTATCTTATTCTAACTTAGTTTTTGGTAATGACTGTCAACTATTAAGGAGAAGAGGACCGCAAATAGCAATACACTGGTGTTCAAGAGTTTAGAGCTTCCTAAGCTGAAGATCCACCGCCAAATGTGTAGGTGGTCTTCAGTCCATTTACTAGTGGATAAGCGTCCTCATTGTCACAAATATCTGCAATCTTGTCAGTTGACTCAGCAGAAAGGTCTCGGGTTGACTGAGCATCGAGACAACTATCTTTCCGTTCTGGCAGATGTGATGGATGAATCTGTTTTGTTGACCTAGGCCTGTCTAAAAGTGCTCTTCCTCAGCCCACTCCAGCTATATGCACAGTATAAAAATCCACCCCTCATCTTTACGTTGATAAAGGTTCTAAACTGGATAAATAGACAAAAACTACTTTCTCCCCAGCTTCAGTTAAACGAAAAAAAAATATACTAGATGTAAAACCTAAGTGATAGGAAAAGCATTTACCTTGCAGGAGCAAGAGATATTACTCAACTCTAAAGGAAAACAAAATTACTGTGAAGTAATTAGTGTCTGGCTTTAGCTCATTTTTGGTCACTGCACGTTGTCTCTGTTTTACTGCTGTCCCTTTGGCCTACCCGATTCCACATTTAATATACCACTGCTTATAAAGAAATCCCTGTGGCTCAGAAGGCTGAATTGCCACTGCTGGGCTAGGGCCTGCTCTCTAGTATATAGAGGCTTTCATTTCCCAAGTTATGAATCTGACATCTCATGGCCAAATCCATGCCAGTTTATTTCTGAGAAGCCTGTCCTCATTATTTACCCCAAATAGTTTCACTGTCAGTATGCTTTTTTTCCACTATGAAGTGGCTGGAGTATCTGAAAGTATCAAGCCTCTCTTTGTTGGATTTTACACTTTTGCTATTACAAGAATTTGTCTTTAGGGATAGAAAAAATCAAGCAACTTATTTCCAGCTATTACTTGGATAGGACTTCATGTTCTTAAACAAGTTGTGAGCTCCCATGATCTCTGAAAACAACTCTCCCGAGGTCTTACATCAGGATAGTCCTACAGTTCTTTCATTACTCTACTGGATGTTTGAAAATATTAAAAGGCATCTAACATCCCAGTCCAGCAATTTATAGACTCAGAGTCTGGTGCTGTAGCCCTCAAAGCCTCTATTTCTTCCACAAAATCCGCACTTTGCTGTTATTGTCGCCAAGACAGGCACGTGTTTCACTAGAGGAGTAGTTTGTCAAAGCAACAGTCCATTATCCAAAGATTCATCACAGGTTCCCACTTCAGTACACGATGGAAGAGAGTCTGGATGTCAGAATGTGAGGAGAAAGGAAAGCTTCCTCTCAGAAAGGTGCATTAGGTAAATGGCACACCTTGATTAAGCTGGGTATAGCTGATTAGGCCAGTGCATTCTGATGTGTTCTTGCCATCTTTTTTTCTCTTTTCCAAACTCATATGTGTTCCTTTGAAATATATATTTGTATTTATATATATATATATATATATATATTTGTAGTTTTTTAAAGCCCCAGACGGTGCCTTGCGCAAGTCTGAACTTTGATGGAGAACCCCAGCTCCCACTGCAATACAAATGATGTTCTGTTAATTATCAAGAGACAAAAAGAGGAAAAGAAATCTCTCTTAAAGAAGCAAACCAGAAACGACTTCTAATATCACAGAAAACGTCCACTGCCTTTGCAAGTACTCAGGACACAGCAAATATTATCATTATGCCTAAGAATAAATGTTTGCCCTGTGACCCAGGTGATCTGGATCATCTACTGAGTGGAGAGAATGGGGAGTTGTCAGAAACAATATGGCATAATTAAATTGTTCTTTTTAAACTTCTATTATGAGTTCTAAAACTTACTATAGTCAATCTATAAGGTCAGACTGCTTGATTGCTGAGCCATTATCTGCAGTTTATGTGATGGAATAAGCAGATTCCTGTTTGAGTTGGTTTTGGTAATTCACAGGTCCCATTCAGGGAGTTTATTCTGTTATTTTATACCAATACTTGCAGATCCCTCAGGGAAATAGGCTCATCTTCTACTCACCTCATCAAAAAGATAGACATTGAAGCAAAGATTATTAAAGGCCAGCCAATGCAGATGGCATCTAGCTCTATGTCACTTTAACGTCCAGTACCACTACAATCACGTCAGAGATTTCTATGTTGAGATCAACTACCATATGGAGAGCAGCTGCCTAAGACAGAAAAGCATTCACTATTCCTCAGTCAATACACAAATGGCAATCATTAAAATAAAATAATTGCCATCCTTAAAATATTAAGCCCTTGGTTCTAAACCAACAGGCCTCTAATAATAGGAAACACCCAAATTTCAGGAGGAAAAAGATGACTTTCATTGTCACATACATCCAGCTTCCAAGGGAAATACTGGCTGTGAGATTTTTTTAAAGAGAAATTAAGAAATATGGGCAGGAGTTTAAAATGGAAGAAAAGCCTATGAAGTGAGACTAATTGTTTATCCTGAATTCAGGGGAAGTTTAGTGTCTGACTGCTGTAGGATCAGAAGCAGGCTGTGAGCGAACGCATATGAAAATTCTGCTTCAGATGTATATTTTAATGCAATCAAATCCTGACCATACAGTAAAAAAACTTCAAAGTTATATTAGTAGTTTGCTACATTTACAGATAGAATTCACAAACTTAAGATGCAAAACCCCTCCACAACTGGAAAAAAACTGCAGGTGTGATTACTATATATAATGCTGTTCAACTGACATATTTACGAGAAAATTACAAAAAAGGAGATACTATTTCCTGTATAAAACAACACACTTCTAAAGACATGAAAAAATGCTAACTCTGAAATAAAACTCATTCTAAGCGAATATTTAAGTATTTGAACACCTAGGTAGTGCCAGGAAGATATCCTTTGGTGCTTGTAAAGACTATTGGTTGTACTATATTCATAAAACTGACCAGTCTTTTTTTGCTATTTCTTTTTTTGTGGAGAAATTCAACCCTCCTTCCTCAGTTGTGTTTCAAATACAGCCTAATATTTTTTTCTCCCTTCAAAACTTAGCTTTAGTTATCCTAACGAACTAACGATCTTTTCCTCTGGATAGACTTCAGCTTTGTCTTTAAGCTTCCTCCACCTTTCTCTATGCAGAGCCAATGGTTTGCTGCTCCCCACTTTTAAACAAACAAATAAAATGTCTTTCTTCCCCCTCCTCCCCACTTTCTTTAATGACATCTTCAGTCATTAATGAGTTAATAAAACTCTCAAAGTCATCTGGGAATAGATAAGGGGAAAGAAAGAAGAGTATTGTACACATAATGACAGGCTCCCTGCTGGCCCTAAGATGTCATGGGTCAGCCATGTCAAGAATGTGTGTGC